ACATTCAAGTTCCAAAGGGAAAAATGCTTATAAATCATCATCATCATCATCACCACATGGCAAGTGATGCAAAAACGTAGCTGGATGGTGAATTGCAAACTAATTTTCATTAAGCTGGTATATGTTGTTGGGAATCCTAAATAAGGATTACATGAATCTACATTGTTTCTTGAAAGATAACTAAAAGTTATACCTTACACTTAGGATTTTTCAATCCTAAACTCAGTAATATGCGTTGTAACACTCTAAATTAAGAGGCCCACATAGACCAAGCGCTTACCTAGACAGGGAACTCAAATCCTATCTGCCTTAATGCTAATGAGTACTTTTGCTTCTTCTGTACCACCTCAGTGACTCCCTAGAATGGATTTACCCATTCACATACATGCGAGCAGAATTAAGGGAGCAAAGCAAAGCAATTCTCAGTACAGGAAAAACAACAGCCGAATGCTAGGCTTCATTTCAAAAGGTCTGTCAACCTTATTTATGTTTTTATGTGTTCATACTGGTTAAGCATGTTTATTTTCATCTTCTTTAATAATTAAACATTGAACACCATGTTATTTTCTAAACCTCCCATAGAAGTATATACAGAGGCGCGACTTCTTTCAGTCTTTTTGTTTTGCTTTTTTAAATTAGGTCAACATAAACTGGTGAGTAGAAAGGTTTCTTCCACTGGGATAGTATCTGAATTTTTTAAATTCCTGTTTTATAATCCTATAATCCAGAATACAAAACAAAAAACAAAAAAAAAAAAAGCAAAAAGCCTTCTGACCACCACTCCAGGAAAAAGGGGGGGAGGGTAGGTCAGAAAAACATACAAAGTATTGAAAGGCTGGATGGGGTGGGGGGATGCCAGCAGAGGGGGAGGGCTTCAAGAGGTGCTAGGCAAGCCCTCTGGTGACATCACCTCACATACATAATGTTACAGCAGTCAGCACAGGCCTCCTGCTTTCCTATTGGTGAACATCATGTCAGCCGACATCAGAAGATAATCATCATTGGCCAGACAATTACAACCAGAGCAGCTAGCATGCAGTGTAGTTAGCACAAACCTGGCTGAGTGCTGAGAGAAGACAGAGCTACAGCCCTGCTCCTTCTCACTCAATGAATTTAGTGTCACCTTACTGATCACAAGGTATTTTCCTCCCTTGCTGGCTGTACTTACAAAATTAAATCAGCTTAGAGAAAATAACAGGAAAAGGCCACACATCTCATAAAAGAACAGAATGTCTCTATTTTCAAGCTGTAATCATCACAAGGGCTTTTCAGTGTGAATTTGGAACTAAAAGGAAAAAAAAAAGGTTCCTTGAAGCTAAAAACAGGCATCTCTCCCCAACCCTACCCCCCCCCCACACACACCTCATGTAAGAAACTCTAGCCAGATTTTACACAGTATTATTTTTAACTGGGCATATACTTTCAAGATGTGCCATTGGATCGTTCTCTAAGAGAACATACTTACTCATTTGCATTTCAGTTCTATTCTAATCTATTATAGGAAACAATTTCCTATAAAAGTAAAAAAATAATATTTATGCCCTATCTAGGCCAGTGTCAAGTTAAACATTAAAGCAGCAATAATAACTCCATAACTATGTCTAAGTTCCAGCTCTTTAGTTTATGCAAACTCACTCCCTGAGTACGTTTATCTAAGGCATGTTTAACAAACTCATCTTGTTTTAACGGGCTCTTTAACACGATCTGATGCTAGCTTAGTGCAACTATGTACTAGCGACTGTCTTTGCAATTCTCCAAGAGACCTTGTAACAAACTCATTCTTAAAGAGACACATTGTCAATTCCCCAAATTTTAACCATTGTTTGGGGCTAGGTCTATGAGTTGTTTTGTTTTTCTTAAAGAATAGCTATAAATAAATTCTGAAGAAACAGAGCAGATCGAAGCCTTATTAGTGATTTTCCTCTAGAAAACTATTTTAAGAGAGTAAGTAAGTGGGGGGAGGTGACCATCAGCGTAGATATTTTGTGATTCCACCATCCCAACTCTAGGCATCGATTATGTATTTACCTTGTTCCTGTTAACCAAGAAAATGAAAAAGATTCATTTTCTCATCTACCTGGTTCAAGACATGGAGGATGGTAAGGCTCTTTGGAAGGTGAGGAGAGTTCTTATAAGCGGGGCTGCCAGCATTTATTGGAAGAAACTAAGACAAGCTTCGAAATCAGAAGATAGGGAGCAGTGTGGTGCGTAATCCAAGAACAGAGTCAACAGGAAGCAGAAGGCAGGGAGGGATAAGACACCCAACAGTATGAATTAGAAGGCAAGGTCTGAGTATTTACAGGTTATCACTGGCCTTAAAAGCGGCACCATTCCCCAGGAGTTATTGGACAGTAAGTACCTTGTCATTATTAGCCAGGTACAAAACACTCTGCTAGCTGCTTCGCCAAACCCAGAATGGAATGCAGCCCGGAGCCTGTCCCCAGGGCGCTGCCATTCTGCTGGGGTGGGTGAGAGAGGGAGGGACACAGACCCAGAAGTAAATTTCCATGCAAATAAATAAAAAGAGTAAGGAAAAGATCCTGGGGGAAGAAAGGTAGAGGAAAACAGCGTGGAAGAAAAAGTCGTCAGAGGTTCACAAACAGAAGTTGGAGATTGGTGTGATTGCCCCCCCACCCCCACCCCTCAATCTCCTGAGGGCCAGAACCAGTCTGGCTCAGGGAACTCCGTAAGTGAATGGATCCAAGGGCCGGAGATGGTTTAAGGGGCCGGCAGAGGAAGTATACACCTAGAGAAAAGGCGACAAATAGCTAAGTGGGAATGCCAAAGGGGGTGCGGGGGGGGGGCGCTGGCAACGGATAGGGAATTCCATCAGCCAGCCAAAGCGCGGCGGAAAGGGACGCAGCCAGGTGAGAGACACGACCGAAAAGGCACAGCACCTGGGCTCCCCGGGGGGGGGGGGGGGGGGGGGGGGGGGAGTGTGTAGAGAGAGAGAGAGGGTGTGACCAGCCTGGAGCCAGAACGCAGCCTCCAGCGGTGCGCGAGCCGGGGCCGCCGCGCGCCCCGGGCCTTCAGCGCCACCCCCTCCGCGGGAGGAGGAAGTGCAGGGACTGGAGGATCCCGGAGGGGCCGGGCCGGGCGTCCGAAATGCCCAGGTCTTCCCCCAGCAGATCCTCAACCCCCCTCGCTCCTCCCCACCCCCGATCGGACCGAGTCTTGGAGCCTGGCAAGTACCTAAGTGCATTCCCGGCTCAATCCCGGGGACCTCGGCCTCTCGGGCTCCGGAGGGCCCGCATGGGAACCCAGCCCTGCACCCCCACGTGCCTGCCCACACTTCCCGGTCCTTCCCAGAGGATCGAGCCCGTCCTCTAAGGCTCCGGCGCCGTCTACACGCGACCATCGGGGGTCCCCAGGCCGGCCGCGGCCACCAACCACACCGCCGACCTTGCCAGCCCGCGGCGTCCGCCACCCCGCTGGAACCCCGGCCTGGACAGCCGGATCTGCACATGCCTGCCGGGGCGGGAGGAGGCGGTGGCCGCCAGCCGCACCTCCCGAGGCGGGCCGGGGCGACTCTAGGAAGCTGAGGGCGGTGGACGAGAGGAAGTTGAACCCCCTTCACCAACCCGCCCCACCCCCCCCTGGCCCGGGACTCGCCCGAGTCTCAGGTTTCCCATTGATGATGGAAGGAGAGGGAAGGGCTGGGCGTGTGCACGCGCGCGCGCGCGCGCGGCGCCAAAGCTCCCCGCGCCCCGACGCCCCTCACCCCCATCAAGGAGGCGATCGGCTAGTTGGATCGGCGCCGGAAAACGTGGGATAGCTTACAGAGACCAGACTAAGAGGTGGAGAAGAAACGTGGAGGAAAAGCCAGGCGCGCACACCCTCCCCCGGTCAGTGTGGCAAGGTGACACCGGATCCCCTCCCACCCGGGGATTTTCTACATGATCGGCGCAGGGCACACAGTCAACAAAGATGGGGCTCCCCCCTCCTCCCCTACTACGACCCAAAACTTCTGAGACAGAGAGCTCCCCCTCCCCTAGTCACCCCCACCCCCTCCCAAGGACTCTGCAGACCGAGGGGCGTCTAAGCCACGCGCCCGAACGCCAATCAGCAGCTTGGCTCTGAATTCGAAGGGAGTGTGTCCAAAAGGCGTTTCCGTACAACAGAAACTTCATCATGGCGTGGCTTTCGCTCGCTCGGGTTCATTCATTTGTACTACACCGCTCATTGTCCCGTCCCCCCCCCCTCCTCCTCCTCTCCGCCTCCCTTCCACTCCCCCGAGGTCTCCATTGAAACCGGAAAAGAAATCCGGCAGCCACGGGGGCCCCGGGGTGGGTGGGGGTGGGGGGGAGCCGCAGGGCAGGGAGGGGGGGGAGTCCCCTGGAAACCTGGCATCCGCCCTGGGAGCGGCAGTGAAGAGCCGGGGCCGAGAAGTGGGCGAGCGCCAAGGAGAAAGGAAGGACGCCAGGGATGGGGAGACAGCGCGGACCGGTGCGCGGTGGCAGGGACAGGGTTACAGGGAGCCGGGGATCGGGTCCTCCCTCCACTGCCGCGCACACTCTGGTGTGGGGGGGGGGCTAGAGACCAAGCCCACCAATCCCCTTCCCCCCCAAAAAAGCACGCAAATAATCGCGAGTTCAGCCAGCCGCGGTCGCACCGTTCGGGTGTGTGGACTGCGGCTGTGTCTCCCACCTTGGGCGAGCAGACATCTCTCGCCCAAGCGCACATATATGTTCTATGTTATATAAGCTATATGAAGATAAGATAGACGCCAGGGTACCCGCGGCTGGCACCCAGGTACACCCCCACCCGGGACCGTGTGCTTCCTGCAAACCTAAAGGACCCTCCCCCCCAATAAAAATCAACCCTTCCCCAAGAACTCTGCCAGGGGCTGGTTCGGGCCAGCCACTTCCATTCACACACGCCTCTGCCAGGGGAAGGACCGACATGAATGCATTCCGAGGTTGGGGAGGGGGGACGTGGGAGGGAGGGAACGCGCACCCCAGAGCGGGGTGTCACCCACACGCGAACCCCCATCACCTTACCAGTTTTCCTGCATCCATTGGATGGCTTCATTCACGTTGAACTGCTTTTCGAATTCGTATTCTTGTAAAGTCAACACTGACATGTTCATTGGGGCTGATCTTCGGAGTCGATGCGTGCTCTCTAACACAGAATAAAACCATCCGTAAAGCGCTGGGTTTCCAGGGCTCGTTCTCCTGGCTGCTTCCCGACTCCCCTTACTACCCCACCCCCATGGAAGGTCCCCCCTCCCTCTCCCCTCCTCCCCATCGAGCCCCCTCCACCCGACCCCCGCCGTCCGCCTCTCTTCCCCAACCTCTCCTCAGCTACATCCAGGGTTGTTGAGCATTGCCTGAGCCTCGGCTCCCAGCTCCTCGCTCGCTTGCTCGCTCGCTTGCTTGCTCTCGCGGGCTCGCCTCCTCCCCGCGTCCGCATCCACCGGAGGAGGAAATGAATGCCTTGCGGTCTTAGTGCCCGCAACGTTTGTCCACCACGCTTTTTTACGCGTCTACGGGGAAATCTCCTCCCCCTCGTGCGATCCGGAAAAATTAACCCTTTGCTAGGGCTGAGACCTCTCCCCGCCTCCAGGGAGGGGGCAGTTTTGTTTATACCAAGGTGGTGGCCGAATGGGGGGAGGGGGGCAGGGCATCGAGAGAGGAAGGAAGTGGCCTGGAGGTCTTCCTCCTGCCCACACCCCTCTTCCTCACCCACCCCCACACTCCCACAGATTAAAAACACCCCATCCCCACCTCCTGGGCCGCCTGGCCCAGCCTCTGAGTAAAGTTTCACCCTAGCTGCTGCTAAGCTCTGAGGCTCAGCTCAGACGCGTGGACCTGGTTGCTTTGGGCGAGTAAACAATTGGGAAATAGTAAAACCTGCCAGCTCGCTCTCTCACTCTCCTCCGGCCAGAGAACGCCAGGCACCTATGCATGGAGAAGGGCACGCTCTGCCCCCCCCACCTCCCTCCCCTAACCCAAATCCTATCCCCACCCCCGTGCGCACACCCAGGAATTCTGGCTTCGGAGCACGTTGAAGGATGGGTGGGGGAACTGAGTTCTTGGATCACGTGCCGATGGAGGAGGGGGGGGGGATGCTGAGGATAAGGGCGGTGGAAAGTCAGGACCAGACTGGGAGCGGGAAGTAGAATAAAGGGCAGGATTAGGCACCCTAGAGGGTTTGGGCAGCCAGAGGGGGAAGGGGGAGTAATTAACGACCAGAGACAAAGGAGCCAAGGAATTTAGCAAAAAGAACTGGACCGACTGGTCCAATACAAAACCTTGGTGTGTCTCAGTGATTTTGTTTTTATTTATTGTATCTAGAGGAAGAACAGAATGTTTGAGGAGAGGGCTGTAAGGTCAACCTTAAGGAAGAAAATCCCCCAGGCCCGAGTGGACACTCAAAAGAGTACTTCATTCACACCTGGATGTCTCTTAGCCTAGAGCACTGGGAACTGGGGGGGGGGGGGATCCCCTGTAAAAGAGGAAAAGGCTGCTAATTAAAGGAGTTAAAAGAAAACCAAGTCAATATTACATAGATCAAAGGGCTGAACTGGTTGATGATTAACAAATTAATATGTAAATTGACACTCCCAAAGATTCTAGGGCCTTTGCTTCTCTCTTCATTTGCGGTTATTCTATAGACTCTATGTTTGTGTGTTGTTCCTGACTTGAACTCAGGGCCAGGGTGCTGTACTACTTGAGCCACATCTCCACTTTCGGCTTTTTTGCTAGTTAGAGGTGAGAGTCTCATGGACTTCCCTGACCAGGCTAGCTTTGAACCACAACCTTATCTATCAGTGTGCTGAGTAGCTAGGATTACAGGCCTGTAATCCCTAGCCTGGGGTGCCCAGCTAATCCTTCCTTACAGACTTTTGTAGGTCAGGTCTGTGACTTCAAAGGTAAGGCCTGGGCCAAAACACTTGGCAAAATAAAGCTCAAGGTAAGTGGGAGACCAGGGCACTGGTGGCTCAGGCCTGTAATTTTCACTACTCAGGAGGCTGAGATCTGAGGATCTCGGTTCAAAGCCAGTCCAAGCAGGAAAGTCCTGAGACTCTTATCTCCAATAAACCACCAGAAAACCGCAAGTGGCTTTGTGGCTCAAGAAGTAGAGCTCTAGCCTTGAGCTGAAGAGCTGAGGGACAGTGCCCAGGCCCAGAGTTCGAGCCCCACGACTGACCAAAAAAAAAAAAGTTAAGTGAGAACAACTGAGAGAGAGAGAGAGAGAGAGATACTTTAGCACAGCAGTTGGGCTGGTGAACAATCAGTAAATATTTACAAAAGTGAATGAAAGATTAAGCATATGATTAAATATTGATTTAATATATATAGATCAAATATTGGTAAAATATAGGGAAGTGAGAAAGCCTTGAAGATTGAAAATCAGGAAAGGCCTTTTTTTGTGTGTTGGTAAGGATATTATCTTGTCTAAAAAATGATCCCATTTTTAAATTCATTATTATGATCAATCATTACATTAATTCAAAGTAGTATGTGAAGTTCCCAATTTGATTACTATGTTTCTTATTCAAATAGTAGCTGTTATAGACTGCTTATTTTCTGAAGGTGAACTTGGGGTTGTGACATAAACAAGTATCTGTTTTTCCTACATATAAAAAGATAACTCCAAGGGAGTAGTGATCTATTTCTAGACTTGTGTGGTGTGTGTGTGTGTGTGTGTGTGTGTGTAGACTGTTTTTCATACTGATATTGGGGCTTGAACTCAAGGCCTGGGCACTCTCAACTGAGGCTAGTAATCTTCCACTTGAGCTACTCTTCCACTTTGGGCCTTTCACTGATTAATTGGAGGTAAGTGTCTCATGGATGTGGCTTGCTGGCTTTGAGCCTCCATCCTCTGATCTCATCGTCTTCTTCCTGAGTAACTAGGATTGCAGGCATTGAGCAATCAATCAGCACCTGGCTTATTTCTAGGCCTTTCAAGAGAACAATAATAAGACAATGCCAAAAGCTTGGTAAGACTGAATGTTGAAAAGTTGTTCAGAACAGGCAATACACTATTCAGGGCAAGCTGTGACTGTCTAGAAATGTAGAAGCCTGTGTGCAAACTTTAAATCTACAAGCTCATTTTCTAGATTCTTCTTATGATACATATATATATATATATATATATATATATATATATATATATATATATC